GGGAGATAGTAAAGGTGCTGGGCTCATTGCTGCCCACACTATCCCTTCATATGCCGAGGTCAAGAAAAAATGAATCCTACATCATTTGTCCAATGGATCGCTAGGTGTAAAGAGGATTTTTTGCTTACTTTTATTTATCGATTTATCTCCAACACAGTTTAATAAAATTAAATAAACAGGTTGGGTAGACGCCATGTAAACTATTTTAGAACCACTGATCAATGGCCGTAGCGTTTCGATCAAATGTGTGTCCAAGTGTTAAGGCTGTCCAGATGAAGCTTTGTCTGTCTGTGTGTAGTCGGCCATTCGTGTCTAATAACTCAGATGGACTTAATTAATTAATTAATTAATTAATAATAAAAGACATAACAGACCTTGTCATACTGACGAGTTGAATAGATGGAGAAGCCATTTTTTTTTAAACAGAATATTGTCAGTTATGACGACATTTATACAGCTGTAATTAATTAGTTAATTAACTATTTTATATAGCGTTGCTAAAAGTAAAGCAATCTATTTGTTAAACAAAAAAGCTGATTTCGTAAAAAAAAAAATTATCAACATAATATTTTATAAACTTTGGAATTAAAGACAATTCAGTTCTCAATATAATCCCCGCTCCCTCACCCACTTTTAAAATGTTATCGACAAAGAATTTTATCCATTAAAAATAATTTCCTATCCAAAATAATTTCCACGTGAACTACTATTAGTTGATGTTGCTATTCCAATTATTTTAACTTCACTCATACAATAAAAACAACATACTTCCGGTGACTTAGTGACGTATAACATAAACATAATATTCCCCAAATGAGATTGCTTCCAGAAAATATAAATATTTAGCCATAAGAGTAATTAATAGGTTAGAGATTTTTCTGCAACTTTATTAACTTAAGTAGGCCTATTCCACTTTGGGAAATTGTTAGAAACAAAATGTTCTCCTGTTGAATGTTTTCTCCAAAATTTTTATTTTACTAGTGCACAAAAAATAAAATAAAAATAAAAATAAAAAACTAAATAGAACCTAGTAAATCATATGTTGTGGTCAGTTGGTTCATCCTGTTATTAAGAGTGTCAATTGTCATCCCAACCTCGTCAGACAATTTTGTTTTCAGTTTGGTGTCACCCCTCTCCCCCTACTATATTTAAAAAAAAATCATAATTTGATAAACAATTTGTTTTGACTATAACTTTTTATTTTTTTTGTCGTCGTGTCACAACCCCTTCTCCTCCGCCCCCTTAAAAGGTTTAAACCTGTGCGGACCACAGCCCCGCACCGGCCTTGTGACGTCACTGTTTGTTGTTCGAGTGTACAGTTCTCTACCTGAAAGTCTCGAACTGGAAACCCGCATAAATAGATGAACTACTTCATCTGACATATTAACCTTCCTATTCGAAAGATTTACATGTTTAAAGAACTATCCCATAGTAAATAACTGTTCAATTCTAGAGTAAAAAAAACTGAATCAAGAATACTATCTATATTTAACATCTATATAACGATGTAAAGTACAATTCCCCATTGATGAATTACTCCGACAGGAAAGACAACCCCGAACTATGACCGGGAATTTTCAGTGTTTACACCCCACGCACGTCATAACTTGAGACCACGTCCAAGATCCCCCCCTCCACCCTCACCCACACGCCACCCCCATCTCGTTGTTTTGGTATCGATACCCAGAGTTGTACTCGCGTACGAAACAAGAGCCGCGCCATCAGATTCATGCGCGCTCTTCATTTCCTACCCTAACCGACGTGCCGACGCGGAGGGGATTTATTTGTTATCGTCTGCCATGGAATGTGCTTGGTAAAATCTATAGTCCATATCAAGTTTAGTGGACACTGGTATATTCACCCCGTGTCTGCTATTTTTGTACTTGTTTTGGGCTAAATCACGCAACGAAATGACCTTGTCGCTTAATATTGGTAGAAAGTTACTTCCGGTTCCTTCCTATAGTTCTGATAGAAACTCGCTTTCGATTTGTTCCCATTAAAAAAAAAAAAAAAAAAAAAACAGAACGAGTCATAAAATAGGTATTAAAGTGCAAATTTGTGTATTACTATAATTCACCAAGCAAAATTCATCATATTATTATCTTTATTAGCATCAAGTTCCTTATAAAGTTGGATAGACTCGATATATTTATTGAGCCGAAGATTATTCTAAACTAGAATTCGGAGTATTATTGTTATAAGTGTCCAATGGTGCCAGAATAATTTCGCCTTCTAAAACAGGGGTAGTGGGGGGGGGGTAGGTTATTGATAGTAAACTGAACAATGATAAAAAATTGCAACGCTAACATAAATAACAACGCTTAACGAAATGTAATTTTAAAGAAAAAATATACTTTTACTAGTACCCCGCCTCAATCCTAGAAAATTCAGTCCGCTTCACACAACTCCCCCCCCCCCCCCCCCCCAAAATATTCAAGTCCTCCCCTGCCCCTACAAAAAAAAATGAAAGAAACATTGGCTACCCTTTAGATCCACCTAAACTTAACCTAGACTTCCCCTCAACACAACCCTTCACACTAATCTTTAACACTATCCCTAACTCTTCCGTGTTTCTTTCGGGCTGTTTTCTCAGGGCGGGGATGGGGGGGGGTGCACTTTGAAACCTTCGGACGTGGGGGGGGGGGGGGGGAGGGCTAAATTCTCAGTGGGTTGTCGGTTGAAACTGGTAAAAGTATTTATTTCCTATATAAACTCTATTGCGTTCGAGGGAAGGGGCAACTTTTTCAGAGGGCAATGCCCTCCCTATGAAATGCCTGAAAGAAACACTGTAACCCTGAGCCTCGCATAGACAGCAGCAGAGGAAAAAGATACCCAATACAACCGTCTAGGTGGAAACGATATATCTTCCTAGCTATGAAAACCAACGCACCCGCACAAGTCTAGCTGTAAAGGTTAATCACTTTCAGGATATAACTACTGCGGTCAGTATGTTGCCTCATAAGTCTCATTCATGCTGGGATAAAAAAAAATAGCGAGTTTAGTTTTACACCGAGAGATGTAAACAAAACATGCGATAGGGTGTTACGACATTCAGCAACTATAAAAGGTTACTTTAGACTTGACCTATGAACTGTGACGTACATTGGCCTAAAAATAGTTGCGCTTATCGAATGTTCAATGCTGGTTCAGAATCGGGAATTCCTTATTTTTGTCACGGGTAGAATTTTCTGATTTTGAAACCAATAACAAGCTATTCTCCTACCATATGTTTAGTTTCGATATATGAGGATTTTGTAGGTTTCATGTAATTTATGTATTTTGTATAACTACTACCACACTCATTTCAGTAGTGAAACATTAAAAAAAAATGATTCTAGCATGAATAATCATTTAATCTATCTAACTATAAATAATTGTAACAAACATATTTTCGTGTTTAAAAATTAGGTTTTCAGTTAGAAATTTTCAGCCTCTAATATTTATTTCATTATTTTTTCCGAGTTACTTTTAAAAAGTTGATCGGGTATTCAGGACATAATTTGTTAACTTAAAACTTAACGGAGATTTCCTAAAAATAAAATGTAATATTTTCAAAAAATCCAGGAGATAAATTGCATTCTTAACACGTCATCGTTAAAAATCTTGTATTCAGGCCTACATTTTGGAAATGTTCGAGTATGTTAATAATAAAAAACGGGAATTTTCTATCCTAAATATAAAACCAATATTGTTAAAACTCCAAAAGATAAATGGTAGCCATTATAAAATTATCGATACAAATCTGGCGATCGATCTACGAGTCACGTACACAACACAATTTTAACATACTGAGCTAAAATGTAAACTCGAGCTAATGGTTGATTAAGTCGGGGGGGGGGGAGTTAAGCTTGTGGATAATGTTCTAGGCATGGGCTGAACAAGGAAGGTGTTGTAGTGATAGTGTCAGGTAATCGTGTGGGTTAGTGTGGGGGGGGGGGGAGTGTGCGGGGTGTATATTTGTGTGTTTGGGGATGTGTGTTTGGGGATGTGTGGCTGTGTGTGTAAAGTGTGTGGGGGATTTGTGTGTGGAGTGTGTGTGAGGGTGTGTTTAGGTGTATGAACTTGGGTGTGTGTGGGGTGCAAAAATCTATATTTTGTAAAACGTATTGATTGTGTGTGTGTGGGGGGGGGGGAGGTAGGTGGGGAGTGGGATGGTATTGGGGATGCGGATGGGGTGAGGGGATTCATGTTTGTTGGCGTGGATTGTTTGTAAGACGTGTGGGGGTGGAGCATTTCTGTGAGTGGGTGGAGCTATCCGTCATATTGATTTTAAGACGAACAAAGCCATTACAATATGATTCCCACCGGGTAAACTGTCCTATATGTGGTACATATATGTGTATGTGGGCAGCGGGACTACATGGGTCTAGACCTAGACGGATACATTTATATGCTTTTATAATAAACTTTTGCGTCTCAGACCAAACGATACGTAGAGAAGATGAGAGAAGAGTAGAGTTTAAAAATTTCCTAAACCTCGGCATAGGAAGGTAGTACAGTCAGCTCTATGACCAGCCTGGAGACCCGAACTCTGGACGTTCACGCAGTCGAGCGTCTACCACCTAACCACGCCGTACCCAGATGATTTAATCTAGGACTTACACACGTTTAAGATATGACTAAAACTAGAATGTTTAAACCCTCCCCCCCCCCCCCACCACCACCCCTAACCAGAATCTCTACCTTCCGTAAGCATTTTCGAAAAAAAAAACCCTCCTAAGTCGTCTATTCTGTGTTTAATAAAACAAAACAAAACGACCCCACATATCACCTGATAACACAGTGTAACACACGGTTGTAAATGTGTCACTCTGAGCTTGTGTCGGTGTAACTTAACCCCCCCCCCCCACACACACACACCTGCAGTAGCTCTATGGCTAAAAACAGAAAGAAAAATTTATATGACTAAATAGAGAGGAAAAAATATATTGCTTAACAGAAGGACAATAGATCTACACCCTGACAAGTTTATAGACCCGTGGTGTTTGTTCCATGTGCCACAGGTCTTGTCTCGATAACTTTCAGGAGACTAGTACTGACAGCTGACACACGGAAACATGAGGCTACTAGCGGTCAACTTTCTCTTGTCATTGTCGCTAATCACAGGTAACCAGGATATATTTCTCATTATCATATTTGCTGTTTTTTTCAAAAACAAGTTTAATAAATAATACTAGTTTTAATATGTTAGGATGTTAGGAGAAACCATGATTTATCTCTAAATACAAAACACATTAACAAACAAACACACACACACACACACACACCCACCCCCACACCCCCCCACACACCCCCCCACACACACACACGCCCACACCCACACAAACACACCCACACACACACATATATATATATATATATATATATATATATATATATATATATAAATATATATATATATATATATATATATATATATATATATATATATATATATATATTTATATATATATATATATATATATATATATATATATATATATATATATATATATATATATATATATATATATATATATATATATATATATATATATATATATATATAAATATTCAAGTTTCTTTTCCATTTTTCAAACTCTTCTAAGTTTATCCTATTCACAACGTTTTTATTTGAATACAAGGCAGTTAGTTTCTTCTATAATTACTAAAAACAAAAGAGTTATACAAAAGAAAAAAAAAAGAAAAAAAATATGTCAAAGCTATATTCGTTTTATTGATTGGGCTTTTCGCCATGACTAACTAGTGATGTATTTGTCTATCCTAGTCAACAGCCTGACATTGCATGTAACACCGGCCAATATACAACCTGGCATCACTGAAAATCTGGCCATCAATTGTACACTTCCGGCCGGGAGCTCATCCAACATGGCGTCTCTGGTCAGCGTGACACTGTCGCGCGCCGTGAACACAAGTGATCCAAACTTTAAACAAATCGCTTTGATAGACTCCTTTAGTGGTGTCTTAAACAAAGCTCCCGAGGAAAATATTACCGTATCGGGTGTGATTAACGCTATTGGCGAATCTTTTCTCAGTGTGACTTGGATGTATCCATTATCCACAACAGCTGGATTTTACAAATGTGACGCCAGTGGATTGGATTTAACTGGACATCCCTTAGTTATATCCCAAACTGCGAATGTATATATCAATACTACTGATGTGAATGACCTAGCCGTTGAAATTTTGAAGTTAAAAAACACGATTTTACAAATAACCTCGGAATTACAAACGTTACGAAATGACTTTTCTGGTTTTGTTGATGTCTGGAATCAAAGAATGAACCAGACGATGGAGTCTCTGTTTGAACTATCCCCCGTGTCCAACGGGTCAGTTTACCTGTTGTCGCGGGATGACCCAGCTGTAGTGCCAGCCGTAGCACAGGCAACTTGCCAGGCATACGGAGGAAACCTTGCAGAAATCGGCGACCACGAAGAGCTCTCGTTCGTCCAGAGTTTCGTCAAGAACTTCTCCGGGTTTAACTTTGTTCTTATCGGGGGTTCTCAAGTTAGTTCCCCAGGGAACTGGGTCTACAGACACAGTAATGAATCTTTAGAGTTCTTTGACTGGGCGCCAGGGAGGCCTCAGGACAGATTAAGCGATAATTGTTTAACATTGTGGGATTACTACGACTGGAAAATGGCGGACATTGATTGCATGATGGATCCCAAGACATGGCCGAAGAGATTTATGTGTGAAATCGTAATCTGACTGCACTGACTATATAGGGGATATGCGTGTGGAGTCGAAAACTGACTGCACTGACTATATACGAGGAATCTGTGTAAAATCGCAATCTTACTGAACTGACTATATAGGGCATATGTGTGTGAAATCGTAATCAGACCGCACTGACTATTTACGCGAAATTTGTGTGAATTCTTAATCTGACCGCACTGACTATAGGGCTGGTAAGTAGGTCTCCATCCAGTTCTATGGCTCATGCAGGTTTTATTGAGCCGTAGAACTGGTTGCTGACCTACTTACCAGCCCTATATACACGTGTGTAAAATCATTATATTAATACACTACTTTATAAGCAGTATCAGTGTGAAATTGTCATTTAATGTCTATAAACTCTAAATAGATTCCACTAACACCGATCCCCTAAAGTTTTGTAAATAATCATTTAAAAAAAAAAGCACCGTGAACTAACTATACACCCGATCATTTAAATAGCTATACATTAAACAATTTATTGACGTTTTTGTTTACCTGTTCTTCTTTATCAATGTTTGGCTCTAATCATATTTGTCTTGCTCTAATTGAAAAGCAATGTGTATTGGGTAAAATAATTTAAATATCTATTCGAACCTTAGGGTGTTTGGACAAATGAAATAGAGCTCACTTGTTTCCGTGACCTCGGCATATGAAGGGAAATAGTGTTCACAACTATGCCCAGCCGCCTATACTTTCCCTAACGTGAGTTAGTTACCAATCAGAGCTGGGTGGATTAAGTGTGTGTGTATAAAATATTTCCCCGAGGCAAATTTAAAATAGCCATTTATATATATTCATGATACTATTTTCTCTGTAAGACAGTAAAACACAACTTTTAACAAAACACAAATAACAATTAACAAAATAAATTCATTTTAATGCTTCTTTGTTTTTGATAATGCTAAGTATGTAAAAATATACATAATTGCTTTTAAATAAATCAATTAAATATAATTTTATACATCATCAATAAACAATACAACAAATATATTATGTTTGCATCATGTTAAATTGCTTTGAAAAAGACTCATACATAGAATTATGATCAGTATAAATATGAACATGTATGTGACTAAAAGTTCATTTTACTTGAACAAAAGCCACATAATCATAATAAAACATCATGTGATAAGTTTTTAGATTTGAGCTAAAACATTATCACAGCATATTCCTAGCTTTAAATATGTATGTACAGCAATGCCAGTATCTATAAAATTGAGAATGAATAAAATAGACTATATACATATTTCATTGTACTGTCAAAATTTAAGTTGAGATTAAGTGGTTTGTGTTTAGTCCATTTTGACCTAATCCGCGTATAAGGCATTATAAGGATTATATACATTTTGTTATCAATTGAAAATCATAGGGACTTTGAGCAAACAATCGTGTCACTCTTTCAGTTGAGATACATAAGTTTAGGTGTAGACCTAATCCGCATGTTAGAAATAGCACATACATTTATTATCATTTGAACAACTCTTTATGTTTTATCAAAATCTCCATCTGAAGTTTTAGTTGATATCATGTTGATTGCTTTTAGTTTGTTTATGATTATGCCAAATTTTAGCACTTTGAAAAACTATTTTATATCTGCATGCACCAAGCTATGTTTTGGCAACAATTCCACAAATATCCGAAATTGCCTCGAATTTTTTAGCGTAGTCATTTTTCCTGATGCAAATCTGTTGAGACACGTGACCGTCTGTCTTAAAGAATTTTGGCTCCTTGCCTCGTTTTAGAAACGGCCCAAGATTGGAACACGCCGGTCCTTGTATGAAATTCAAGTCTTCTAGAACCATCTCTACCCAGGTATTGATAGTATAGCCTGAACGGCAGTACTGGACAATGGTCTTCCATAATGCCATTTCCATAAACCCGTCACAGGCATTGAGAAGTAGACCCTTGTTTATTGATGAATTTAAGAGTATGTTCGGTACTTGAAATATCAGAACCACATAATCTTTTGGGAATCGCTTTTTCGCCCAACTTAAAGCGCGTTGGAAATCAAAATATAAATAAAATCCGTAGTTGTGTGAATAGTTTTGTTGTGGGTTTCCTTGAGTTAAGTCGATGCCTTCATGAAGAATGGACGCAGAGAATGTTAGGGAAGTTCCGTGGTAGAGCAGTTGGTGGTTTGGCTTGGCGAACTTACGCTCAATCTCAAAGTGGTAGGTCGCCATGTCGATGCCTTCTGCTGAATGTAGGTGTATGTGTGAGGCTTGAGTAGTGGCTCTTGGTGCTTGATGTCTCTGGCGTCGTATGTTTACAGGTATCCAGCCGTCCATTTCAATAGGTGTTTTGAGCATAGATTCTTGTAGTACACTGTAAACAAAATCAATTCAATTCAGTCTATCGAAAAATATAATTAAAATATTGGTAGTTTATTTTTTTAGGGTAAAACTAATAACAGTTTAATAATCACACACAATTATATAACTTACAAGTAAATATTATCTGAAGCTAGTTAGCTTGTTAGAATAATCCATCACTGCGAAAAGTTTTACAATTCAGCTTAAAGAAAAAGTTAGGCCTTATATACCTCTAAACAGTTTAGTCAGACGCCTTATTCATTCTTGTTTCAGTTTCGGAAAGATAAGCCTAGCCGTAATATGTCTAATTTTAGAACAGAAAAAAACCGGGAAAACCCGTTCTTTACGAATCGTTCAATATAAGTAAGCTCAAATATTTTTTGTTTGTAATAGTGTATAGTTATTCATTTTGATCAATTAGTGTCCGTGCTAACTGTAATCAGTACATGACGTCACGCAAATATTTAATAGATTAATGTCACAACTCCAACACCTCACGTTTCACCGAATGTACGGATGAAAACATGATCGCTTCTTTAATTAAAGAAAGAAAATAGTACGTTATTAATTTTAAAACCCCTACTCCTCTTCTTCACACAAATTCATAAACGTTTTGCCACCTGTCCCGTGGGTGACGTCATTGACTGGACGACACGTTACCTGAAAAAACAAGTTGGGCGAAGAAGCGACTCCCAAAAGATTAATATCACAACTCCAACCAACCCCTCATGTTTCACAGAATATACAGATTAAAAAAAAATGATCGCTTCCTTACTTAATGAAACAAAATGCTACTTTATTATTATAAAACCACTATCCCTCTTCTTCACATATCATAACAAACATTTTTTGACACCTTTCCCGTGTGTGACGTCATTTTGATAATTATTTTACATAATTATAAAATTCAATCTGATATGTTCTACGTAATCAAACTACATAAATACGTATTTGTAATTATTTCATTGGTATCCGTATCACCGTATTTGTTATACAAGGTATATAAAACAATATTTTAAAGCAAAATAATTAGGTTTCTTTTTCAGTTTAGCTTTCGTTTAAAGTCAAGCCTTACAGTTCTAATGTAATAAAGCCTTACTATTGTAGAGAAATAGAAATTCTAGTCTGCACAAGATAGTCATCTGTTTGCAGGTATTTATTATTGTATAGTTACACTTTCATTTCCTTTTTTGTATTTATATTTTGTTAGTGTCGTGTGATATTTAAAAAAAATCTTATCTGCTCTGTACTTTTACTGTATTAGATCGTTGTCTAAAAATAGATAATGAAATATAGGTTAAAAAACCCCACGGTATTTTTATTGGATCTACGCAATCTTTTAACCTAGATCTCGATTGATTTTTGTACAGGTGAAGAGTTGGTCTACCTGGTGATGTCATACATAGGGGAACCCCAAGCAAATAAGGATTATTAGGAGTTATTTTTTGTTAATATATATATATATATATATATATATATATATATATATATATATATATATATATATATATATATATATATATATATTTAATACTCAGATTGTGCTGGGTTTGATTATCTGTCGATGGTTAAGTGAGACGGTCATCTATCGATGACGGTAATTATCGTCTCAGGCAATGCTCGTGAGTCAGGTGGAATTGCATAGGATTAATCATGCTTTCGCTTCTTGCTAATTCGAGATTCGATCCATTCAACTTCTTACCAATCGGGTTTACATTTTTTTTCATGCAGTAATTAATTTACATTTCAATATTCTACTTATAATAATAAAATAATATAAATATATATTTTCGAGCATGAATATATTTTTTTAAAAGTAATCAATTAATCGATCACACATTCAGGTACACAACACAATAGAATAGGGGTCCCCTCCCTAAGGTAACTCAACTGTCCCCACCCCAGTTTACCAATTTAAATAAAATATCACCTGAAGAGAAAAAACAACCGTTCAAATCTGAGCACATTTTGTTTTATAGTGCTGTTTAAGAATTCATTATGCTAATTTAGGCTGGCTATTAATTAACCTTAACTTTACTTTCAAAACTGACACTCACATTAATCTATATATATATAATTCTCTTCATGGGAACCATAGAAGACATCACGCAGCTTAGCCACCTGTTAGGTGAGCTGTGGTTCACCCCGAATGTTTACAATCGTAGAGCCGGGTCGGCTATTAGGGGTAGGGGCAGATAATTGAGATTTAAAAAGGGGAGGTAGTAATTTCTGCCATAACTATTCATTGTCGTCTGTAAACTGTCGTCACGGACGGCTGCTTTTACGGAGGGAGTTCGCGGGAGTGTCGGGGAGGGAGGGTGAGGATAGTCGTCTTAACCAGCTACTGATAGTGTTTTAAAGCAAAATATTTACAGTCGCAGCAAATAAAATAAAACGAAAATAAAACAGAGGCGTATGCTTACCGCGCGGGTATGCTCGTGTAGAAATATTAATAGCCTGTAACAATAGGACAGAACAAATACAGCTACACCCATTTGATTCGGAATAAAACCCTGATTTACGATTGATTAGATTTAAATAGGCTCATAACTCTCCTTAAAATAAGTCTCTTATTAATTAATTTTGATAGTTCTTGATAGTCATCGAGTTATGTTTCTTATACAGGGCAAGTTTCTTATTCGAACTTAAATTTTAAATTAAAAATTATTTTTTTATTTTTTGCCACAACTGAATTGATACGTAATTTTACATTACTTTTATAAATATTTATATTAATGAAGTTTCCTATTATTTTTCGATTACCACGAGTGTAAATGTTCCTATAACATTTCTGGAAAGTACGTAGTGCTTTTATCCCTTTAGTAAATTCATTTTTAAACATGGGAAATAACTAGAGTAATTGAAAATTCAACGTAATAACCATTTTCAACGCTTCAATATGTGTTATCTTCTTAATACATCGTAGTATTATACATTATTTTGTTTATTCCTTATTAAATCTTTTAATTATAAACAAATATTTATAAGTGTATTTTGAAACCTAAATTTCTGTAAAAGCTTTTGTACATCCATTTAGAACTAGATCGCGCCTCACTTTATAAGAGTAGGGAAACGCTTTATTTAGTTGGTGCCATGTGTATTTGGGCATAATTTCACAGATCACTTACAATGGTACCTTCCTAAAATAGGGGAGTTATATATATATATATATATATATATATATATATATATATATATATATATATATATATATATATATATATATATATATATATATATATATTAGTGATAGAGCTAGTATTTTGAGCTATTGTGAGGTCGGGTCTAGTGTTCATGTTTACCTGGGTGTTTAGCTATCACTAGACTAAATAATAGATCACCACCCCACCCACGCCCAATTCTTCTTTTTTCTTTTGACACTTATATAACTGTTTGTTTTAAACATTCTAAAAATAAATAGCAAGTATAGATTTGCATCAAGGGAAAAAAATATGAAATAAGTAGATTAAAAGTCATGTCATATATAATTAAAATGATCTAAAAATCGTTAAGTAGATCGTAGAGGACCAATAAAAGAGAACTGCTGAGAGTGAGTCCAATGAAGAGTAGTCTAATTCTTAAGCATTTCTAATTATGAACTTAGACAACTTAATCGTTCTATTTGTATCATACAAGAGCCATGAACATCTTTGTTGTAATACTAACATAACATTGTTGCTTATTTGTAAACAAAGACAGCGAATTTAATTATTTTTGAACAGAAACAGCGTAATAGCACAATCAATAGACCTACAGTGGATACAGAGATATTCAACTTACAATAATCGTTATCTGCTGTATGCTGACGTGTTCGAGATATCCGTCATAACGCTTTGTTTTCAAATTCTACCGTACATGTATAGAGTCCTTTCATATGACGTCACGTCCGTTCGTGATACCTACGCCCGCCGCCACAGTGGTGTACACCAGACGTAAACACAATCAGCTGTTCACCAGCGCTGGACGTGTTCACCAGCACTGGACGTGTTCACTGTATGTAAAGAATCGCGCCCGCGGAAAAGGAAAAATACGTTAAAAAACTTGAACTCTAAGGAATTGAAGATCCTTATACTGTTATTGACAGTTTCGTAGATAATATAAATATGTGGCCAAAATTTATAAATAAAAATACTGTTAGTAATACTGTTTGCGTTTAGAGTTTAAGTAGACGAATCTGATCAAATGCAGTTCTCGATACTTTGTTTCAGGTAAGGACAGTAAAATAATAAACTTCATTTTAATTATAAAAGATAACTATTAATAAAAGACAAAGTCAAAAGTAATAATAAGAAGAATAAGATCTAATAGTAGGCTGTAGGCCTAATAATAGTGTTTTAATATCTAGATCTAGAATCTAGCTCTAAACATGGCGTAAACAAAATTCGGACCACAGATCTAGATTCTGGATTTATGGTGACTGACTCCGCTGGGTAGACATAGAATCTAGAATCTACTTCTTTACTTAAATTTAATTACAAAATTTAGATCTACATTCGATTCAAAATACACCCATAATAATCAAAAGTAGTCATAATAGGCCTAATAAAGCATTTAATTGTCTCTAAGATCTAAAATCTCGCTCTATAATCTAATCATTTTTTATCAAACGAAATTTTCTGAAACTGAAATAGATTGTATGACTAAACTTAGATCTAGAATCTGCTACTTAAATTAAATTGTAAAAACTTTATACAAGCATGTAGTTGATATTACTGTAGTAGAAGGCTTTAATAAATTACTAAGGCCTACCTACTTTGTTGTCTTTTTACAGCAATATGTATCTGATACTGGACTGAGTTTAATTAAATTCAAATTCATATATAGTAATTGGTATACTAAGTTTTTGTAGCCTAGTAGTACAATCTAGATCATACCAGCCAACAACAAATAACCACATTATTATTATTTGGTTAATGATTAGGCTAATTTTTTTTTTAAAATCCACTGTTTATAAAAGAAACAAATCAAGCTAGAAACATTATAAGTGAGATGGTTTAGAATAATAACAATGGACCCAGTCTACAATTGATACAATTGCAGGTCTACATAGGGCCTACAGTCTAGTAGTTTACAGTAGGCACCTAGTGTGTAGCTAGTATACTAGTGTGTAGCTGTCCAGAGTTAAGATTCTTAATGCCTTAATGCTTTCCCCTGATAAGCCATGTGTAACATGACATCGAGGTGAGAAATGTTGAGGGGAGAGCAGTGGGACTTTCCCCTTTGTTCTCCCTGCTGGGCCCTGAGGGTCAAA